TTTACTCCCCCTTTTTTGGATGCTGTTTATTTATTCTTCTTGTCTGATCGCTATGGCTAGAACTTCCAGATCTGTGTAAAATAAGATTGGTGAGAGTGGACATCCCTGCCTTGTTCCTGATCTTAAGGAAAACGCTTTTAGTTTTGGTGCTGGATTTTATTGAATGCTTTTTCTGAATCTGTTGATATAATCATATGATTTTTGTCTTTCATTTTGTTTATGTGATATATCAGATTTATTGATTTGTGTATATTATACCATCCTTGCATCCCTGGGATGAATCCCACTTGGTCATAGTGTATGATTTTAAAAAATATATTTTTATTGATTTTTTTTTTAAGAGAGGGAGGGAGAAGAGAAAGAGAAACATCTATGTGAGAGCATAATATTGATCACCTGCCTCTTGCATGCCCCCTCCTGGGGATTGAGCTATCACTGGGAATTGAACCAGCAACCCTTTTTTTTTTTTTTTTTTTTTATCCTCACCCAAGGACATTTTTCCATGTTTTGGTCAGGTAGAGTGGGAGGGACAGAGAGGAACAGAGAGAGAGAGAGAGAGAGAGAAACATCGACGTGAAAGGAACACATCGAGTGGCCGCCACCCGCACGACCGACCAGGGCTGGGGACAAACTGCAACCGAGGTACGCGCCCTTAGCGGGAACCGAACCCGGGTCTCTCAGGACCGCAGGCTGAGGCTCTAACCGCTGAGCCAAACCGGCCCGGGCGAACCAGCAACCCTTTAGTGAAGTGAATGACACCCTACCAACTGAGCCACACCAGCCAGGGCGGTGTATAATTTTTTTAATGTATTGCTGGATTTGATTTGCTAATATATTGTTGAGGGTATTAGTATTTATGTTCATCAGGGATATTGGCTTATAATTTTCTTTTTTTGTTGTGTCTGTATCTGGTTTTGGTATTAGGATAATGTTGGCCTTGTAGAAGGAGCTTGCAAATCTTCCCCCCTCTTGAATTTTTTTGGAATAGTTTAAGGAGGTTAAGTGTTAGTTCTTTTTTTTTTTTTATCCTCACCTGAGGGCATTTTTTTCCATTTTTTTGTTCAGATAAAGTGGGAGGGAGAAAGAGGAAGAGAGAGAGAAACATCTACGTGAAAGGGACACATCGAGTGGCTGCCCCCCGCACGACCAACCAGGGCCGGGGACAAATTGCAACCAAGGTATATGCCCTTAGCGGGAACCAAACCTGGGTCCCTCTGGACCGCAGGCCGACGCTCTAACTGCTGAACCAAACCGGCCAGGGCTTTAGTTCTTTTTTGAATGTTTGGTAAAATTGGCCTCTGAAACCCTCTGGTCCAGGACTTACGTTTGCTGGGAGATTTTTAATTACTGCTTTGACTTCATTAGTTGTTATTGGTCTATTCAGGTGTTCGGCTTCTTCCTGATTAAGTTTTGGAAGATTGTATGTTTCTAGGAATTTTTCCATTTCACCCAGGTTGTCTATTTTGTTATCATATAGTTGTTCGTAATATTTTCTTACAGTCCTTTGTATTTCTTTGGTGTCATGTTACTTCTCTTTCATTTCTGATTATATTTATTTGGGTCCACTTTCTTTTTTCTTGACGAGTCTGCCTAAAGGTTCATCAGTCTTTCAAAGAACCAGCTTTTGGTCATTGATCTTTTGTATTGTTTTTTATTTTTTATCCTCACTCGAGGACATTTTTGCATATATCTTCAGACAGAGCGGGGAAGAGAGAGAGAGTGAAATATCAATGTGAGAGAGACACATCAACTGGTCGCCACCCACACAACCCCAATTGGGGCTGGGGACAAACTGCAACCGAGGAATGTGCCTTTAGCGGGAACTGAACCCTGGACTCTCTGGTCTGCAGGCTGACTCTCTAACCGCTGAGCCAAACCAGCCAGGGCAATCTTTTGTATTGCTTTCTAATTTCGATGTCATTGATTTCTGCTCTGATCGTTATTTTCCTTCTTTTTACATACTCTTGGCTTTTCCCACCTTTCTCTTTCCAATTCTTTTAAGTGTTGCATTAAGTTGTTTACTATACATTTTTCTTGCTTCTTGACATAGGCCTGTAATGCTATGCATGAATTATCAGACTTCTTTTGCTGTGTTCCATTGATTTTGGGTGGTTTTATGATCATTTTTGTTTGTTTCCAGCTATTTTAAAAATTTCTTCTTTGATCTCATTGGTAACCCATTTATTGTTTAATAACATGCTATTTAACCTCCATGTATTTGAGTATTTTTTAGCTTTTCTATTGTGGTTGATTTCTAGTTTCATGCCATTGTGGTCAGAGAAGATGCTTGATATGATTTCAATCTTCTTGAACTTGTAAGAACTTATTTTGTGCCCTAGCATGTGGTATGTCTTTGAGAATGTTCCATGTACTCTTGAGAAGGATGTAGAATTCATCTGATCTAGTGTGTCATTTAAGGTTGCTGTTTCTTTGTTGACTTTTTTTTTTTTGGTCTTGAAGTGATGTCAGTTGGGTGTTAAAATCCCCTACTATGATTGCATTGCTTTTGATCTCTCCCTTAAAGTCCACCAAAAGATTTTTTATATATTTAGGTACTCCTATATTGGGTGCATACACATTTACAAGGGTTATATCCTCTTGTTGGATCAATCCTTTTATTATTAGGTAGTGTCTTTCTTTGTCTCTTGTTACGTCCTATGTTTTGAAGTCTGTTTTGTCAGCTGTAAGTATTGCTACCCCGGCTTTTCTTCATTTCCATTTGCATGGAATATATTCTTTTCCATCCCTTCACCTTCAGCCTGTGTGAATCTTTTGTTCTGAGTGGTCTCTTGTAGACAGCATATATATGGGTCAGGATTTCTTATCCATCTATTCTGTGTCTTTTGATTAGAACATTTATCTCTGTATATTTAAGATTATTATTGATAGGTACTTATTTATAGCCAATTTTTTATGCCTATGTTTCTTTATATATTTTTTCTTTTTCTTAAAGCAGTTTCTTTAGCATTTCTTGCCATGCTGGTTTGGTGGTACTGGACTTTAGCCTTCTTTTGTTTGGGAAGCTCTTTATTTCACCTTCAATTTTAAATGATAACCTTAGTGGATAGAGCAATCTCGGTTGCAGATTCTTGCTTTTCATCACTTTGAGTACTTCATGTCAATCCCTCTGGCCTGAAGTGTTTCTGTTGAGAGATCAGTATGGGAGCTCCCTTGTAGGTAACTAACTCTCTCTTGCTGCCTTTAAGATTCTCTCTTTGTTTTGCCCTGGCCAGTTTGGCTCAGCGTTAGAGCGTTGGCCTGCAGACCAGAGAGTCCCGGGTTCAGTTCCCGCTAAGGGTACATACCTTGGTTGCAGTTTGTCCCTGGCCCTGGTTGGGGTCGTGTGGGTGGCAGCCACTTGATGTGTCTTTCTCACATTGATGTTTCTCTCTCTCTCCCCTACTCTATCTGAAAATAAATGCTAGAATGTCAGGTGAGGATTAAAAAAAAAAGATTTTCTCTTTGTGTTTAATTTTGGCCATTTTAATTATATGTGTTGGTGTGGGTCTCATTGTGTTGATTTTGTTTGAGACTCTGTTTTACAGCGTATAGATAATTTAACTCTAAGTTGACGGCTCATAGCTCCTGTATTGGACAGTGTGGGACTGGAGAATACATGTTGCTTCTTTAGCCTGGCTTCCAGGCCCTCCTGTGTCACATGTCATGTAAGCTGGGCTGTCACTGGTCCATCTCTGACCTTTGCTCCTGGGTTCTCATTTCCAGATCACCTCCTACCTTTATAGCCTTGCCTGGCCTTTCCCAACCAGAGGGAGTTTGTGTCAGCATTCTCATCCCCTGCTCTCTCTCCCTTACGATGAACGGTCTGCCGCCGTACCCACTCCAAGTCCAGCTCTCAGCCTGTATGCTTGGCCCCACCCTCTGCCTCCTCCAAGATTGCTCCTCACATGATCCCCATTTCCTCACGTGGTCTCTGGGCTATCACTGGAGTTCTCCTCACTGCCTGCCTTTGTCTGTCACCCTGTCCAGCTTTTCCTCCCCTTCACTTGTAAGCTCTGGGGGGAGGGTCCAGGCTCCATCGCGATGCTCCTGACGACCGTGCTCCACTCTAGCCCCATAGTCTCGCTGCCTGTCAGCATCTCCACTTGGAGGTGTAACAGGCAGTGACCCTTGGCCTCCTCCACACTTGCCCTCCGGTCTTCCACATTCCTTTTTTATCGGTTCAGTAGCTCTGCTCCCTTCTTCATGCTCCACAGCCCACCCCTAAGCAGTCGGCTGACTCTGCCTTGGAACGCAGCCCCAGTCTGACTGTTCCCTTCACCTTTCACCCCTCACCCTAGCCCAGGCCACCATCTCTTCTCACGTGAGTAGTGGGAACACCGCAGCTGGCCTCCTGCTCCCCTCCGGCTCCAGCATTCTGTTTCCTGCACAGCAGCCAGAGCGATCCTTTCAATAAGATTCAGATGCATCATGTTTTTCATCAGAGCCCATCAGAGGCTCTCCAACCTCTGGGGAAAAGTGCAGCGTCTTACCTCGGCCTAGAAAGATCCCTAAAATCTTCCTCCTGGTTTTTTGCCCTTGTTTTGACACTCAGACCTCGAGTCGTGCCCCTCCTCAGCCTCCCGAGGCTCCCTCCCCGTTCCTTCAGCTCTTGCTCGAGGAGCCCTTCTGTCTGAGACCCATCCCAGCTCCTGCGTGACTCTTCCCTGTGCTTTCCTCCCTGGTGCTGTCGCTGCAAGAGAAGCAGGGGAAGCTGTCGCTCGTGCGCCGCCCTGCTGGAGGGTTAGCTTCCTGAAGGCGGCATCACATCACCCAAATGTCATTCGCCTTGGAGCCTTGATGGGCGGGGACTATGCTTGTCTGTCTGGTTTTCCCCGACCAAGTACAGTGCTGGCACAGAGTAGGTGATCAGCCTGGCACGGCGGCCCACCTCTGCTGTGTGGAAAGCCTGTTGCTGGTGCCTACCCAGCCCCTGTGCTCCAGAGTTCTGTGGTGTGAACACACACAGGCCAGCTGATGGCATTTTCCCTCCCCCAACACAGGCCTTGTGCTGTCCGTAAGGCACCATGAACGCCATCGTCGCTCTCTGTCATTTCTGTGAGCTCCATGGCCCCCGCACTCTCTTTTGCACTGAGGTTCTGCACGCACCTCTTCCGAGAGGGGCGGAGGACAGCCCCGGCCAGGGTGAACAGGCTGAGGAGGAGGAAGGCGGCATTCAGATGAGCAGTGGGATCTGCACACACAGCCCAGCAGAGGGGGCCAGCGCAGAGTCCAGCAGCCCAGGACCCAAGAAGTCAGATATGTGCGAGGCAAGTTTTCCCGGGGGTGTCAGGGCGTTTCTTCCTCTCCAAGGGTTCTTGCTGGTACTCTGTGTGGACCGGGGGTGAGTGGGAGGCCCTGTGTTCGGTGGATGGGGTCTCACAGCAGGGGGCCTTCAGGTGGTGTGTGCAGACTGTTCTCCATGACATGTTGGCTGCTTTCATGTCCCTCAGTTCCATCCCTTCGTCCTGGATTTAGCTTTTCCAGCCCCCTCAGTGCCAACAGACTGTGGCCACCCACCATCACACCTCTTGTCGGCCCCCTGCACACCCACCATCACACCTCTTGTCGGCCCCCTGCACACCCACCATCACACCTCCTGTCGGTCCCCTGCACTCACGCCATCACACCTCCTGCAGCCGTCCTCCTGCACACCCACCATCACACCTCCTGTCGGCCCCCTGCACACCCACCATCACACCTCCTGTCGGCCCCCTGCACACCCACCATCACACCTCCTGTCGGCCCCCTGCACACCCACCATCACACCTCCTGTCGGCCCCCTGCACACCCACCATCACACCTCCTGTCGGCCCCCTGCACACCCACCATCACACCCTGCGGCCCCCTGCACACCCATCACACCTCCTGTCAGGCCTCACCACTGCACCCACCACACTCCTGTCGGCCCCCTGCACACCCACCATCACACCTCCTGCAGCCGTCACCCTGCACACCCACCATCACACCTCCTGCAGCCGTCACCCTGCACACCCACCATCACACCTCCTGCAGCCGTCACCCTGCACACCCACCATCACACCTCCTGCAGCCGTCACCCTGCACACCCACCATCACACCTCCTGCAGCCGTCACCCTGCACACCCACCATCACACCTCCTGTAGCCGTCACCCTGCACACCCACCATCACACCTCCTGTAGCCGTCACCCTGCACACCCACCATCACACCTCCTGCAGCTGTCACCCTGCACACCCACCATCACACCTCCTGTAGCCGTCACCCTGCACACCCACCATCACACCTCCTGCAGCCGTCACCCTGCACACCCACCATCACACCTCATGTAGCCGTCACCCTGCACACCCACCATCACACCTCCTGTAGCCGTCACCCTGCACACCCACCATCACACCTCCTATCGTCCCCCTGCACACCCACCATCACACCTCCTGTCGGCCCCCTGCACACCCACCATCACACCTCCTGTCGGCCCCCTGCACACCCACCATCACACCTCCTGCAGCCGTCACCCTGCACACCCACCATCACACCTCCTATCGGCCCCCTGCACACCCACATCCACACAGTGGCCCATCCTGGACCCTGGTTCCTTTCACGTGGTTTTCTCAGGGCGTCTCCTTCTCGTGGGGCCCTGGGTATCTGTGAGCTCGGGCGGGGACACTGACGTCCCCTCACCACGCTACTTCCTCACCTGAGGGACCTGGGTGGGACCTGAAATCAGAGGTAGTGTTGGACTCTTGTTCGTGCTAACGCAGACATCTGTGGCCTCCTGAGACCCCTGTCAAGTGGTGTGTCAGGACCAGGGACAGATGCCAGCACCGAGCACTGTGCCAGCCACTTCGAAGCTGTGAGCCTCGTTTCCGCTTTCTCGGTGGGGATTCTCACCGGTGATCATAAGGCTGTCCTCGGTATTAAATGAGATAACATGTGCAGAGCCTCTTGTAAGGTCTGCTACATGAGCACTCAGCAGATGAGATCTGTTCTTCACACCCTGTGAAAACCTCTGTGATCTTTGCGTCTGGCTCTCCTATTCAGGAGACTTGAAGTCCTCAGAAGTGTAACTCTAGAAGCCAGTTATCGTTTACATGAAAATAGACTGAGTTCTCGACTTCAGATTTGCACGAGATAAGAGAGTATGTTGTCTGCTTCCCGACTAACTGGTTTTCTTTTCCTTCTCCTGGGCAGGGCTGCCGGTCACTTGCTGCGGGGCATCCCGGGTACATCAGCCATGATAAAGAGACTTCGATTAAATATGTCAGCCACCAGCACCCCAGCCACCCCCAGCTCTTCAGCATAGTCCGCCAGGCATGCGTGCGGAGCCTGAGCTGCGAGGTGAGCGCCTGTGATGGGCAGCGGGCAGCTGTCTCTGTGGGCATCTCACACACTCCAGGAGGCCCAGACAGGGTCATGTTGGCCTTGGAAAGGACGACGGCAGTCAGTCCTGTCGTCAGGAGGCCGGGCAGATCAGTGAGCAGGGAGCACGGGGTAGGCTCTGTTCTCCAGAATCCAGATCCGTTGTGCTGGACTCGGGTTTGCTAAGTAGGTGCCAGCTTGGCATTTTAAGCACCACGTTTTGTCATTTGTTCATTCTTAATGGACTTATTTGTAGGATATGTCATTTACCACATCAGATACCACCTGTTTTTTTTGTTTTTTGTTCAGATAGAGCGGGAGGGAGAGAGAGGAAGAGAGAGAGAGAAACATCGATGTGAAAGGGACACATCGAGTGGCTGCCACCTGCACGACCAACCAGGGCCGGGGATAAACTGCAACCGAGGTACATGCCCTTAGCGGGAACCGAACCTGGGTCTCTCTGGACCGCAGGCCAACGCTCCAACCGCTGAGCCAAACCGGCCAGGGCCAGACACCACCTGTTTTATTTTCTCAATCATCATGTGTCCTCAGACCCTACTGAGTGAGGTTGGCAAACTTCAGTCTGGGGTGGATCTATTGTTTGTATAGGAGTTACGTGTGGCTTAAGTGTGACGAATCTACTGGCCCTTGCGCTCCCTGGTAACAGATGCTGTCTGTAGAAAGTGTGACCCTGGGAGCAGATGAAAGCAGTTTCCCTCCCTCCTCCCTTCCCATCCCACACTTCCTGCAGTAGTGGTGGCTAATGAGTGCAGACAGGAAATCTGAGCAGAAGGGTTTGCCCGTGACTGAAGCAGAGAGGGGACCTGTCCTGGGGGCTGTCGTGTCGCCCAGGTCTGCCCGGGCCGCGAAGGCCCCATCTTCTTCGGGGACGAGCAGCATGGCTTTGTGCTCAGCCACACCTTCTTCATCAAAGACAGCCTGGCCAGGGGCTTCCAGCGCTGGTACAGTGTCATCGCCATCATGATGGACCGGATCTACCTCATCAACTCCTGGCCCTTCCTGCTGGGAAAGATCCGGGGGATCATCGATGAGCTGCAGGGCAAGGCGCTCAAGGTGACCCGGCTGGCGGGCAGTGGGGCCGCGGGGGAGGAGCGGTGCGCCGAGGCAGGTGTGGCCTGGGGCCTGCCTGTGCTGCCTGTCCGGCCGTCCTCTGGCCTCAGAGTTGGGACTGGCCGCAAGCCTCGCGGTCAGTGAGCGGTCCCGCTTGCCTCACCGGTCTCCCTAGTCTGTTCTGGTCTGGTCAGCTCCGGCTTCTTCACTGCAGTCAGACCCAGTGTCACCCCTGGTCTTTCTGTCCTCTGACCTCTGCTGCGAAGCCTGTGCCCTGATTGTGCTGCAGCCCCTCCCTCCAGCGTGGCCTGCATCTCAAACCTCAGTGACTTAGACCACAGTTTTTCTTGTTCATGTTGCTTGTCTGTTGCAGGGATGGGGGCATCTGCTCATTGTAGGGGTCCTGGCAAGTGGGGCCACAGCCACACTGAATATTGTCATTTGCCTGCGAGAGGGAACAGAGGGTACTAGTCACGTGTCCTAGCCACAGGCTCTGAGTAGTGAACGTCTCCATGCGCTGGGACAGAGGGGCCTGGGAGCACTTGGAGAGCCACAGTCATGACACTGAGCACATCCACCACCCGCACATCTGCCGAGTCAGGGACTCTGTTGTGGGAGGGGGCACAGGAGAAATCCTGACCCAGCTGCTCTTTCAGGCGTCTCCTAACACAGCTGGCGGCAGACCCTCTGCCTGGCCCTGGGGCAGCTGGGCTCCGCAGCAGGAGCAGCGCTCTGGAGGCTGTGACGGGCGGGCTGGCGGGCTGGCTGTGTGAGGGCCGCCCCTCTCCTTTGCGTTCCAGGTGTTTGAGGCGGAGCAGTTCGGGTGCCCGCAGCGGGCGCAGAGGATGAACACGGCCTTCACTCCGTTCCTGCACCAGAGGAACGGCAACGCCGCCCGCTCGCTGACGTCCCTGACGAGCGACGACAACCTGTGGGCATGCCTGCACACCTCCTTCGCGTGGTAACGAGGCTTGGGTCGCTCAGCAGCTCTTAGCGGATTCGGGGGGCAGTCGTGGGTGCCTCCCTGCTGTGTACTTACTGACTGAGCACTGAACTGGATGCGTTCCGAGTGTGCAGACACATTTGTGTGGAACTCATCCTGACGATGTCTTTGTGTTTTCTTTTAATCCTCACCCAAGGATATTTTTCCATTTATCTTCAGATAGAGTGGGAGGGAGGGAGAGGGAGAGAGAGACAGAGAGAAACATAGATGTGAGAGAGAGACTCATTGACTGGTTGTCTCCCGCATGACCCTGGCCGGGGCCGGAATGAGGTCCGTGCCCTTGACAGGAACCAAACTTGTGACTCATTGGTCCGCGGGACAGCGCTCCAGCCGCTGTGCCAAACTGGCTAGGACCCTAATGATGTTTTTATTTTTAATTATCTATTTTTTAGATAATATCCTTTTGTTCTTTATTGATTTTAGAGAGAGAGGAAAGGAGAGGGAGAGAGATAGAAACATCGATGAGAGAGAACATTGATTGGCCGCCTCCTGCATGCCCCCCACTGGGGATCAGTCCCACAACCTGGGCATGTGCCCTGACCAGGAATCGAACTGGCGATGCTCAACCACTGAGCCACACCAGCCAGTTCTGGCTCAGACTCAGGGGTTTTTGGACAGCTCGGCTGTGTCATCTGAAGGCTTGGCTCCCTCCCGGGGCGAGCAGGTCGGTGCTGGCTACTTAGTTCCTCACTGTGTGGACACATGAGCGGACTTGCCTCAGAGTGAGTGACCAGGGAGTGAGGTGGGACAGGCAGGGTCTCCAGACCTGCCTGGACCGTCACGGGGTGACTGCCAGCGTGTGCCGTGTCGGGGATGTGCTGTGTCACTAAGGCAGCCTGGTCAGGGGAGAGGACTGTCGTCTTTGGAAGGGGGATGTCGGTGAATTTGTGGACATTTGACATGACCACGATTGTCCCTGTTCTCCCACAGTGAGGTCTCCTTCCACAGACCCCCCGACTCTCGTTCCCACGCAGTGTCAGCCTGACGTCAGGGGCTCATGGCCTGGGTCCTGGCGGGGCTTCTTGGGTGTGCACCCTCGAGCACTGCCCCCAAGGCCCTTTGAACCCCCACCCCTCTGACAGGCCTTCCTGCTGTCTTCAAATTGGCTTTCGTTAGGGGAACTTGAAACAGCTCGAAGTGGAATAAGTAGTGTAATGAACCAGGCATCCACCATCCGGCTTTAGTGGTTGTCAACGTTTTACTGCCTTTCCTTCTGTGCCCTCAGTTTTCTAGGAATTTTTAAAGCAAATGTTAGTTGTATCCTTTCAACCATAAAGCCGTCATCCTATCCAACAAAATGGACTAATTCCTTAGTATCATCCGGCCCCATCCAAGTTCACTTTTCCTGTTTTGCCTCAGAATTGACTTGAATTGGATCAGAACGCATGTGTAGATGGTTCTAAATCTTGGTCCAGAACAGTCGCCCCCCACTTCCCTGTCCCCTGTGCTGGCGCACCCAGGCTGTCTGTTTTCTGCCTGGCCGATGGCACTGAGTACCACTCAACAGTCTTCACACTGTTTCCTGGAGATGGGTGGGCAGATCAGGAGGTTTGATCGGCTCGTGGTCTAGCTTCCCTTTGCGAGAACACTGACGCTTGTCCCCAGGCTCCTGAAGGCATGTGGCAGCCGGCTGACCGAGAAGCTCCTGGAGGGCGCGCCCACCGAGGACACGCTGGTGCAGATGGAGAAGCTCGCGGGTGAGCGAGGGCTTGTCCTGCAGCCACTGGCCTGCAGGGCCGCTCGGGCTGCCCTAGCACCCGCCCTCCTCCACGCCGGCCGAAAGCTGGGGGAGGGGACTCGGGGGTGAATACCCCATGAGGGGCATCTGCAGAAGAGCTCCCCTTGAGAGTGGCCCAGGCAGGCTGTAAGGCCCCTGTGAGGCTGTCGGTCTGTGGAGGACGGAACGCTTTCTTGTCCCTGTTTCCTCATCGGCCAGGCGCTCGGCCCGCAGACAGCCCTGCTCTGTGCTCCTTGCCGGTGAAGCAGCGGCTCCGTGCGGCGGCTCTCGCACCTCGCCGGTGCCTGGACCACTCCCCCAGGCGTGCCATGAGACCTTTGCGTCTGGGGGCTTCCCGGGGTTCTGGTGTGGCCCCAGCAGCCCAGGAGCCTCTGTCTCCATCCTGGCCGTGCCTGTCCTTCAGAGAGGGTTCAGGCCTTGGTGATTCGGGTCCAGTCGGCTGTGTGGCCGGCTGCCCTGACCTGTGGTGCTGTGGGTGGTGTGTTGTCGGAACCTGGTGTGCTTTAGTCGCAGACAGCGGACCCTGAGGAGCTGGGGCTGGCTCAGGGTTCCTCAGCAGCCAGTGATAGTACATGTGTGCTCACACCTTCCTGAGGGGGGGTGTCAGCCAGAGGAGAACGTACCCGGAAGAGGTTGGACCTTGCCGTCATGATCAACTGACCTAGAATGGTTTTTATTACAGTGGGTGTGAGTGTCTGGGCTGGTGAGGATGGTAAAGCGGACTGGGTGAGATTTCCTCGTACAGAGCCAAGCACACGAGGAAAACATTTTTGGGCTGGTCTGTGTTCTGGTCACAGGAGGCTCAGACCTGCCCTGCTGCTCTGTGTGCGTGTGCAAGAGCCCTCCCCAAGGGTCCCCATGGGAGGGTGCCGTGGAGACTAGTCAAAACAAATACTTTGTCTTTAAAATGAGAACAGTATTGACCTCAGGACAGTTGAAAGGATGAATAATGTGTGGAAGCTCTTAGAATAGTGCCTGAGGATGAGCTCAGTAAATAGAAGCTGTTGCCATTCTTACCGTTGTTTAAACTGCTGCCAGTGAGCAGCTCTCAGTGGGCAGGCGCGGGCAGGTGTGGGCGGTGGGCAGGTGCGGTGGGCGGTGGGCAGGTGCGGTGGGCGGTGGGCAGGTGCGGTGGGCGGTGGGCAGGTGCGGTGGGCGGTGGGCAGGTGCGGTGGGCAGATGCGGGCTTCACAGTGCAGAGCAGGGCTCTGGCCTATGCACAGCAGGCCTGGCCATCGCAGCCCATCCCAAGGCTTCGAGGGTGAACAGGAGTGTAGACAACTGGCCACAACCAGAAATTAGTAACCTGTAGTAGTTCAGCACAAGGTGCCTTGGCCCGAAGTGATCACCTAGGAGACTTGCACCCAGGCAGTGAAGGAGCCCAGGGCAGCAGGGTTCACAGCGGCCTTTGTTGTCCGTCTTGCAGATTTAGAAGAGGAATCAGAAAGTTGGGACAACTCTGAGGCTGAAGAGGAAAAAGCCCCTGTCTTGCCAGTGGGTGCAGAAGGGCGGGAGCTGACCAAATGCCTGACAGGCTCTTCCTTGCTCTCCGACTGCGAGAACTGGCAGCCCCGAAAGCTGTCTGTCTTCAAGTCCCTCCGGCACATGAGACAGGTGGGCGGTGGAGGGCAGAGGCCTGATCAGAAACGCAGGAGAGCCCCCTCCTCAGCTTCCAGCTCTTCTCATCCAGCACACTCTGTCCTGTGGGCCCATCGTGTTCAAGACCCAGCAGGGACTGCTTGGTTAGGAGGAACCAAGAACCTTCTTGGTGGTTGCAGGTTTGATTCCTGGTCAGGGCACATAACGAATCAACCAATGAATGCATAAATAAGTGGAGCAATTAATCAATGTCTCTCTCTCTGAAAAATCAGTAATAATTAAACATATCTTTGGGTGAGGATTTTTTAAAAAGGTGGGACAGAGGGGGGCTGATGGAGATGGAAGCAGAACAGGGTCAGGACAAATGGAGCAGTCGTGGTCTGACTCGGACTGAGAGCATACTAGCTGTAAGGGCACTCGGGAGCTCAGGGTGCTGAGTGTGTTAGTGTGGCGTTGGGGGTGTGGTGCACATTGGGGTTGTGTAGGAGACAATTGCGGTTGTCTCTTCGTGGGCCCAGAACTGCTGCGATGCCTGTGACTCACTTCCAAGTGGCCCAGCGCGGTGAAGGGAGGAGAGGGCATGCTGCAGAAAGCTAGTCTTCTCTGCCCCAGGCCTTGGGAATAAAGTTTAGGGAAAGGATCTTATAAAATGTGCGAGAGCCGCCCTGGCCAGTTTGGCTCAGCGGTTAGAGCATTGGCCTGCGCACCAGAGAGACCCGGGTTCGGTTCCTGCTAACGGCACGTACCTCGGTTGCAGTTTGTCCCCGGCCCTGGTTGGGGTCGTGTGGGTGGGGACTAGTCGATGTGTCTGTCTCTCTCACATCAATGTTTCTCTCTCTTTCTTCCTCTCTCCCTCCTGCTCTATCTGAAGATAAATGCAAAAAGGGTCCTCGGGTGAGGATAAAAAAAAATAAAATGTGCAAGTTTTGGGATCAGGATTTTAGGTACAAATCTGGGGACTTCTGCCTGCCTCCTTCTGATGTTGGGCAAGTCACTCAGCCTCCCCAAGAGGAGCACTGTCCCCCGACTGGCCTTCCTTTGCTGTACAGAGCCAGTTTCTAGACAAACACACAGAGGGCATCAGTTGGGCAGAAAGCACTGGCTCTGTTCCAGGTCCTGGGCGCCCCATCCTTCCGCACGCTGGCCTGGCACGTTCTCATGGGGAACCAGGTGGTCTGGAGGAGCAGAGACGCAGACCTCGTCCTGTCCGCTTTTGAGGTTCTCCGGGTGAGTGCCCTTCCTTTGTGTTTCATAGCACGAGTGTTTGCTTGGTGGGTTTGGTGTGGCTGTTGGGACGCGTCAGTGGCACAGTGCGGAGGGTCATTCCTGAGCCCAGGGTCCATGTGTCCTCCACTGTTGAAATGACAGTCATTATGGTTTTTATCTCCAGTGGGAGGAGCCTGTGCTGTCCTGATACATGGATAACTAGTCTCCCTCTCCCCACTCCCAGCCCCGGCTCCCTCTGGGAGGCCACTGCAGTGGCTCACAGCTTAGAGCAGGTCTGAGGCAGCACACTCCCGCACCACGGTCAGCAGTCGGGCGGTGCCGGGTCTGTCCCGGAGGTGTGCTGCCCAGGCCTGAGCTGGGCGCATCATTAAGTTGTTAGGAAGGGTCTGTGAGGGCATGAAATGAAGGTGACACAGCTCCTTGGAAGCTTACAATGTCTTTGTCAGATGAGGGCAGAGACAAACTCCTGAGAAATGTAAAAATGATGTAAGAATTAACACCAAAAGGCAACACAAGTTGTGTGACCAGTGGCCCAGAGATACCCAGTGGGGCTGAGGGACCAGGAACGCCTTCTGGAGGAGGGAGGCTTTGGCTGGAGCTGCAGGGGGCCGTCCAGGGGATGCTCCAGCAGGTGTCAGTTCTGAGTCGCTGTCTTTTCCAGACCATGCTGCCCGTGGGCTGTGTCCGCATCATCCCTTACAGCAGCCAGTATGAGGAGGCCTACCGCTGCAACTTCCTGGGGCTCAGCCCGCAAGTGCAGATCCCCCCCCATGTGCTCGCCTCCGGTGCGTGCCTTCCGTCTGAGCCCGGTCCCTGCACGTGGGGCTGAGACGTGGAGCTGGGTCTTGGCTGTGCATTGGAGGATGTCACCTGCTGGCCTCGGGCAGGAGGACCCACACTGTAGGGCCTGCTTCCCAGTGCCACTGAGCCTGTGTTCTATCTTTAACATGGCGGAGGGTGGGACTGGCTTCTCCTAACACAGGGGCTTGCCGGGTGGCTCTTCGTCGGGGGTGGGGACAACAGGAGTGGGTGTGAGGACGGCAGTGCCATCCTGGGGGTGAGTCAGGGAGCCTGGACCCGGAGCGCACCTTCGTGTTCTTTGGCCTCATGGTCGTCCTCTGCTCCCCGGTTCTGCATGCTTCCTTGTCCTCTCCACAGGTTTTCTCTTCCGTATGCCTTTTTAAGTCCGTGTATTTGAGCCAAAACTGACAACACACGCTGGGGAGCGCGATCTCACATGCTCCCCTTTACACCTTAAACACCTTTCACACCCATCAGCACAGCGGCCCGCGGCCCGGTCCGCCCTCGGCGCTGACCAGTTGAGTCCGTTGGGCGCACCGCGGGAAGCTACTCACATCCACGCTGTGTGCTTAGGGAGTTCAGGAGGCAGCCGGGGTGCGGGTCCCAGCCAGTGGGCACTCCTCTGGCGTCAGTGGGAAGTCAGTCACCCACAGTGTGGCGCTCAGCTCCCGGAACTGCCCCCATCCAGCACCCGGACCGGGTCTGGAGGGCCTGAGCGGTGTCTGTCCTGGGCGGTGGTCAGACTCGGCTCTGCTTCCACACACAGGCTCGGAAGTCTTCCCGCTTTGCCTGTGGCTCTGGGCGAGGCACTTTGCCCCTTCGGTTTCCCAGCCTACAAGGGGAGACAATGGGCCTCTCCCCAGCAGGCATAGGGCTGCTTAGTACAACACGAATTGAGGCATATAGTTCGTGCTGTAAAATAATACGTTGTTAGTTCAGCTCAGGCAGAAGTTTAAACCTCCACCATTCACAAATCACAGAAGGTTTTAGCTGCAGAAGCATCCGTCTCAGGGACTGTGGGTCTCCGGGGGCTGGTGCCAGGCTGGGCCTCCCTGAGCAGGCGGTGTCCCTGCAGAGTTTGCGGTCATCGTGGAGGCCCGTCCCGCCTCTCCCTCCCGCCCCCACCCTGCCGGCTGGGAGGGCGACCAGCCTCTCAGCAAGTACGAGTTTGTGGTGACCAGTGGCAGCCCCGTCGCTGCGGACCGAGGTGGGTGCCCTTCCCGGAGGGGGAGCGGGGAGGGTGCAAGGCTGCCTCTCACCCCGCCCCGCCCCTCTCCCAGTGGGCCCCACCATTCTGAACAAGATGGAAGCCGCTCTGACCAACCAGAACCTGTCTGTGGACGTGGTCGACCAGTGTCTCATCTGCCTCAAAGAGGAGTGGATGAAGTAAGTGCAGGCTGCCTGCCCCCCGCCTGTGCTCCCGGCCGGCGGGCCGCGGGGTCCACTAAGGAGGCCAGAGCTGTTTCAGAAGGCGAGGCTGCGGCGCGGGAGACGAGCAGCCAGGGGAGGCCGGGGCCGCGGGGCGGGGGCTCCCGGGGAGGGTCTAGAGTGAGGGTTAAGTGGGAGCTCAGACACCAGCCCCACCACTTCGTGTACTAGCTGGGGGCGCTACGCAGATGGCCCAGCGCCCCGGGCCTGGCTGCTCCGAGGGTGACACCTGCCTCCAAGGGAAGCAGTGGTTTTTGCTGCTTAATTAACTTTAAGAATCAGAGAGATCATGGGCGTTCTAAAGCACGTGACCATTTCCTCCCGCCTTCTCAGTAATCTGTCAAATTCAGTCAAACATTGTCCTGATTTCAAATAATACAGTGAGGCTTAGGTTCAACCGAGCCCTTTCATGAATTTAAGGACATTTGTTTTCTCTTTTCCTTGCCCCGTGGTGGGCGCAGCCGGGTTGCCCAGGGCAGTGGAGACCTAGGGCGAGCGGGCGGGGCTGCTGCCTCGTCTCTTCGAGGGTGTGCCCTCCAGCTGCGCTCGCAGGACCAGAGCTCTGGTGCCTGTGCTGTGGTTCTGAGTGTTTTGTTTTGTTTCCTACAGCAAAGTGAAGGTCCTTTTTAAATTCACCAAGGTGGACAGTCGACCTAAAGAGGACACACAGAAGCTCCTAAGCATCCTCGGAGCATCAGAGGAGGACAACGTGAAGCTGCTCAAGTTCTGGATGACTGGCCTGAGCAAAACCTACAAGTCACACCTCATGTCCACAGTCCGGAGCCCCACAGCCACAGAGCCCCGTAATTGACTCCACGTTAAGGTCTCTGTGACGCCTTCTGGGAAGTGTAGTGATGGCCATCCTGCCATGGAGCTCAGGGGCGGGTCCTGCAGTCGCAGGTGGTTCTCATTCCGACCTGCGGGCACAGAGCTGTTTCCAAGCAAGGACCGGAAGCTTGGGGCTGAGCTCCACGGCCGTGGGGTTTGGGCCTGGCGTAGTTCTTGGGACCATCCCACAAGCTGCTTCAGGTGCTGCAGCCTGTAGAGGACAGTCCCCTGCCTTGCACACCTGTTAGAAAAGACTAAGGAGATGTGTGTTTCATTCCTCTCATGGACTCAGCTCTCAGAGTTTATAGGGAAGACACGCAGGCCAATTTGGACTTGGATGTTTTAGTCATGATATACCTTCTCTTGAGGTTAACATTCAAAACTTTCTATTCTGAAATTCAGCAAGAATTTTCCTGGTTTTATATGCACGCATGTATATATTGCTACAGTGGTGAATTTTCAAGACAGGTGCTGACCTTGAGTCATTTTCAGTAGCCTGGTTTTGTTGTAGGGCCCTGGGAGAGGTGTTCAGGGTAAAGAGGATACGTTCCTCATTGCTGGATCCTCGGGAATTTGTTCTGCAGTCATGTGACTGCCCGTCTTCTGGCCACGCCTTTCTGAGGTTGCTTTGAAGTCACCCTGTGGCTGAGGGCGAGCACCTGATCTTCCTTACGCAGTGATGCTTCGCTGAGGTGTTCAGTGGAGCCATCTGACTTCCTGGCTCACTGTACGCAGTTTAGACACCACCATACTTGTATTCCACGTCACTTCGTTCTTTTTTGTTGTTGCTAATCCTCACCTGAGGATATTTTCTCTTTGCTTTCTAGAAAGAGTGGGAGGGAGGGAGGGAGGGAGAGAAACACTGATGTGAGAGATTGATTGGTTTCCTCCGGTACGTGCCCTTGACCAGGAATCGAACCTGTGACCCTTGAGTCCACAGGCCAACACTCTCTAACGCTGAGCCAAAGTGTCCAGGGCCATCTCATTTTGTTCTTTATTGCTTCTTTAAACATTTACACTTGGCTGCAGTTACTTTTCTGAGTATGGTGATTTAAGATAAGATCTGTTCATCATCTCAGTGTGCATTTAAAAATATATTTTTTTATTGATTTTATTTCTTTTAGTGAGAGAGGAAGGGAGAGGGAGAGAGCTGCCTCCTGCACGCCCTCTGCTGGGGATCATGCCCACAACCTGGGCATGTGCCCTGACCAGGAATCAAACCAGAGACCTCTCAGTCCATGGGATGATGCTCAATCCATGGAGCTACACCAGCCGGGCTCAGTGTGCATTTTTGATAAGGGTTCACGGTTTGAAGGGATTTTCCAACAGTTTTGTTGATTTGTTTTATTTTATTTTATTTTTTTTATATTTACTATGAAGACTATGTTTATATGACTAGCTATCTGTATCATGAAAGAACGTTGAAACAATAAAGGCATATTTTTGTAAAATGTTGACTATATGGTTTTATTGGTTTGATAACTTGAAAGTATTCTTGGGATCAGTCACAGAAAATATTATAGTTAAAATAACACCAGTAATGATATAACTATTTTGGAACTTGAATCTGTTAAAGGCTTACAACTTCCAGGGGAAGACTAGTTAACCGTGGTTAATCTTGGTCAATTTCAGCCCATGGCACAGTAGCAGCCCCGCCCCCCCAGTCACATGGCAGGAGCGTCCATGTGTTCCTGCACACAGCACCCCCACACACACAGGGCAGGTGTGTCCCTGTGTTCCTGCACACAGCCCCCATGCATGGCAGGAGTGTCCGTGTGTTCCTGCACACAGCCCCCCAGTACATGCAGGAGTGTCCGCGTGTTCCTGCACACAGCCCCCCACTGCATGGCAGGAGTGTCCGTGTGTTCCTGCACACAGCCCCCCCGTACATGCAGGAGTGTCCACGTGTTCCTGCACACAGCCCCCCGTACATGGCAGGAGTGTCCATGTGTTCCTGCTCACAGCCCCCCCCGCCACAGGGCAGGAGTGTCCGCGTGTTCCTGCACAAAACCCCCCTGTACATGCAGGAGTGTCCGCGAGTTCCTGCACACAGACTCCCCCCCGTACATGGCAGGAGTGTCCACGTGTTCCTGCACACAGCCACACTGTACATGCAAGAGTGTCCACGTGTTCCTGTACACAGCCCCCCTGTACATGCAGGAGTGTCCGCATGTTCCTGCACACAGCCCCCTTCCCCACATGGCAGGAGTGTCCACGTGTTCCTGCACATAGCCTCCCCCCACATGGCAGGAATGTCACGTGTGCCTGCAGCAGCCTGCACACAGCATGTGGGAGCTGGGATGGGTAGAAAGGACCCCCCTGTCCTCCTGACTCTTAGGGATCTTTGCTTCAACCCGATTGCTGCTTCAGATCACAGAGGTGCAGACAGAGAGGTGGGTAGTCACTGCACCGCTCTCCTTGTTGCAAGCCCCTCTTTTGGCTGAAGTGACTGCCTGGAGACTTGCTGGGCTGGTGCCCTCCCCCACCACTTCACTTCTTGCTTTTCTCCTTTCAGGAGCCAGGTGTGAAAGACTACAACATTCAAAAATAACTGCACATATGGGGGAAATTAGAAAGTGGCTGCATACCCACTGCATACTCAGAAAACACCTGAAAAAAAAAACAAGTTTACACCGATTACAGGCCTATTTTTGGCAAAGAGCTGACAGTAATAAAAATAAATAAAAATAAAAAACAATGGAGAAAAAAAGTATCTAATTTTCAGAGTTACCACATTTTTAGATGAGTTCAAGAAAAAAAAAAATCCCAAGGCATACAAAGAAATAGAAACATAAGGCCCGTTCAGCCCTGGCCGGTTTGGCTCAGCGGTTGGAGCGTCGGCCTGCGGTACAGAGAGACCCGGGTTCGGTTCCCGCTAAGGGCACGTACCTCAGCTGCAGTTTGTCCCCAGCCCTGGTTGGTCGTGCGGGTGGCAGCCACTCGATGTGTCCCTTCACATCGATGTTTCTCTCTCTCTCTCTTCCTCTCTCTCCCTCCCGCTCTATCTGAACAAAAAATGTAAAAATGTCCTCGGGTGAGGGTAAAAAAAAAAAAGAAACATAAGGCCCGTTCAATGGGAAAAAGTAAACAGAATTTGTCCACTAAGAAAAAGACTTAATGGCAAATATATTAGACAAAGACTAAAACAACTGTCTTAAGCTCCAAGAACTAAAGGAAGATGTAAAGAAAGTCAAGAAAGTGATATGAATAAAACAAAAATATCAAAGAGACAAAACCTAAAAATAAACCAAGAAGAAATTCCAGATCTGAAAACTAATGAAAAACTGAAACGGAAAATTTACTAGAGAGAGTAAAAGGCAGATTTGAGTAGGTAGAAGAAAGAATCAGTAAACTTAAGGATAAAACACTTGAAATTTTTAAGGCTTAGGAACAGAAAGAAAAAAGATTGAAGAAAAGCTAACAGAGCCTAAAAGACCTATGGAACACAATCAAAAGGACCAATATACATATCATGGGAGTCCCAGAAAAAAGAGAAAAAGGGGAAGAGAATATTTGAAGAAATGACTGAAAACTTCTTAAATTTGATGAAAGATATGAACATACATAAATCTCAACAAACTCTAAGTAAGATTTTAAAAGACCCACACCAAAAAATATAATCCGTCATTCAAAAGAGAAAGAGCAAGTCTTGAAAGCATCAAGAGGTGAATCATTACATACAGAGAGTCCTCAATAAGACTGTCTTTAGATTTCTCATCATAAACTTGTGAGGCCAGAAGGCTGAGCTAACATATTCAGAGTGCTAAATCAAAACAATAAAAGTCAACCAAGAATTGTATATCCAGCAAAACTGTCCTTAAAAGTGAGAAAGAAATCAAGACATTCTCAGATAAAAGGTGAGGTAGTTTATGACCACTAGACTGGTCCTGCAAGAAATACTCAAGGGAGTCCTGCAAGTGAAATGAAAGGATATCAGACAGTGCCTAAAAGCCATGTATACATATTAAGATTTAAATCAAGGAAATGCACAGGCAACTATATAAGTTAGTATTATTGTAACAATAGCTTGTAACGGTACTATTTGTTTTCTACAATTTAAGAAACATACATGTAAAGAAAAAAATTGTGAAAGCTAGTATTACTGTAGCTTTGATTTGTAACTGCAAATCTTATTTTCTACATAATTTAGGAGACTAATGCATTTAGAAGTATTAGTTTATGTTTGTGGGCGCACTGTAGAAAGATGTGGTTTTGTGATATCAACAACCAATGGGATCAAACTCCATCATGAATGACACAGTAACTATCCTAACCGGGAAGTTTCTAACCAACAGACTACTTCAGGGGAAACATGGTCATTGACATCCTTCACTCTGGGGAGGCAACAGTGTCCAAGACAGAAATTCGGGGGAAACTAGCTAAAATGTATAAGACCACACCAGATGTCATCTTTGTGTTTGGATTCAGAACCAATTTTGGCGGGGGCATGACAACTGGCTTTGGCGTGATTTATGATTCCCCGGATTGCCCAAAGGAAAATGAACCCAAACATAGACTTGCAAGACATGGCTTGTATGAGAAAATGGTGACCTGAAGAAAACAGAAAGGAAGGCAAGAACAGAATGAAGAAAGCGAGGGGTTGTAGTCTATATATTTTGGAAATTAACCTCTTATCCAATGTAGCATTGGCAAATATATTCTCCCAGAGAGTGGGTTCCCTTTTCATTTTGATGTTTATTTCTTTTGCTGTGCAGAAGCTTTTAAATATGATGCAGTCCCATTTATTAATTTTTCCTTTGTTTCTCTTGCCCTAGGCATTGCATCAGTGAAAATTCCATTACATATGATGTCTGAGACTTTTCTGACTATATATTCTAGGATTTTTATGGTTTCATGGGTTACATTTAAGTTCTTTATCCATTTTGAGTTTATTCTTGTGTATGGTGCAACTTGGTGGTCTAGTTTCATTATTTTGCACTTAGCTGTCCAATTTTCCCAGTACCATTTATTGAAGAGACTGTCTTTTCTCCATTGTTGAATATTAATGTTGAATCTTGCCTTCTTTGTCAAATATTAATTGTGCATACTGTCTTGGGTTAATATCTGGGTTCTCTGTTCTGTTCCATTGATCTATGTCTGTTCTTGTGCCAGTACCAGGCTGTTTTGATTATGATGGTTTTATAGTATAACTTGATATCTGGTATTGTGATCCCTCCCACTTTGTTCTTCTTTTTCAAGTTGCTGTGGCCATTTGGGATCTTTTATGGTTCCATATAAACGTTCGGAGTGTTTGTTCTAGATCTGTGAAATATGCCGTTGGTACTTTAATAGGGATTGCACTGAGATTGCTTTGGGTAGTATGGACATTTTAATGATGTTGATTTTTCCAATCCATGAACATGGTGTACGTTTCCACCTTTTTTTTTTATCCTCACCCGGGGGCATTTTTTCATTTTTTGTTCAGACAGAGTGGGAGGGAGGGAGGGAGGGAGGGAGAGAGAGGGAGAGAGAGAGAGAGAGAGAGAGGTGAAAGGGACACATCGAGTGGTTGCCACTTGCACAACCCAACCAGGGCCGGGGACAAACTGCAATGGAAGTACGTGCCCTTAGTGGGAACCAAACCCAGGTCTCTCTGGACCGCAGGCGGATGCTCTAACTGCTGAGCCAAACCAGCCAGGGCCGTTTCCACTTTTATATATCTTCCTCTATTTCTTTTTTCAATATCCTGTAGTTTTCTGAGAACAGGTCTTTTACCTTCTTGGTTAAGTTTATTCCTAAGGTATTTTATTTATTTTTGTTACAATGGTAAATGGGATTGTTTTTTGGTTTGTTTGTTTGTTTGTTTGTTTTTCTTTCTGAG